CTAGGCTAGCTGCGCGACGTAGTCGCGCTAAAACCAGGAACGTTGAATGATTATATAATAGCAAGGTTAAAGTTTAAATTTTAGCAAATGCGCATTTTGGATTATTGTATGTATATTGCGTAAAAGAGGTGGATGATATGTTTGATTTATAAGTTGTATATTTAATTATTTATGACATGAGTGAGGTTTGTATTTGGAAAGTTATTATTGTATAGGCATTATTATTGTGATCATTATTTTATGTACTATGCACATTTAATAAATATGTATTTATTGGCATTTGCATGTATGTGTGATTTGGGATAGAATTTATTTTTTATAGGATTTTTATTTGGTTAAAAGTTAAAGGTTAAAATGTCATGTTTTGAAGTTGGTTATTTTAGATAGCTTTGTGGGTTTACAGTTAAAACAGTTTAGTAAAATGTAAGAAAAAGGTATCGGTATGTACGATTAATTATGAATAATTGTAGAAAATTAGTTTAGGAGGATAATTATTATGTAGTAAGACATCATTCTAGATACATACTACAAAGACCTTGCATCATAATCTTGATATCCAATCAAATGTAAGATTTTGTTTACACGCCATTCCAGATGGCAGGAAACCATGCACTCCGTATTGCAAGCATACTCTGTTCCTGGTAAAGTTTTTATTAATACTATTGAGTCATTTGTTTGTTTATTTTTTTGGTGTTAAGGTGAGACCTTGCTCATATTTTTATTGGTAGTTTTTAAAGTTAGTAACTTCATGGAGTTACTATGTACAAAAATAATTTTATATAAATGCTATAGTCAAGGTCAACACTTGTAGTTAAGGTTAACCATTAAATTGTTAACTTATATAACTAACTTAAGTACAAATAAGAAGAAAATTATATTCAAGAATAAAGCTCAAACATATTTATCTGTGACTTAAACCTATTAAAGTGGTCAAGACTCATTTAGATTTATATAGTTCAAATATAATTAAATGAGATATTGTATTTGATTCAAAGAATAGTCCATATATTGATTTTTTTAATAGTATAAACAATAGACAGACATGTGTTGGAATTTAAATATACTTGATCAGGTAATTTACATATACATGAATATGTATATGTTTGACAATTGTATTTAGTTTGTCTATTATGATTAGTTTGAATTAAGTGTTTAGAGAAAGAAGGTTTGAGACCTTGTTGTTTTTTCTAATTTGAGAAGTTTATACAATATAGTTTTCAGAATAGTTCATGATATAACTTGTTAATTTCAAGTAGTATTTTAATAGTAGTTTGTGATACTAATTTGTAAAGAATATTAAAGTTTTGAATTATTTAAATTAGAGATTTGGGTATAAGTTCTTTAACTATGATATTAAGATATAATGAGTTTTCATTAAATAGTATATAATAAAAGGTTTTCGGGTTTGAATTTTCTAAATAAGTTCTTCTTATTGAAATTTAGAGAAGTCTAGGTTGTTTTGACTAATGTATTTGAAGATAGTATCTTGAATAATACTAGTAAATAGAATGAAGCTAGAACATGTTTGCCAATATATTGAGGAGTCAAGTAAGTTACAATAAAAGCAATTTGTATTATAAAAAGTATGTGAATATATTTTATGATATAGAAAATGTGTATATAGTTCATTTAATAGAATTTTGATTTTAAAGAATTTGAAATGATTAAGTTTAAAGTTAATTATATTATGTGTTGGTTTTTGGTTATAATTAAAATATAACCAAATGAATCTTCAATCTATTTCTAAAATAAGTTGGTTCTATTCTTGGTTGTATTTTTAAGATGATTACATTGTTAAAATATAGACTTTATAAATATTTTTGATAAATTTTCTTATAGAGTATTCTATAAAATGTTAATTTCAAAACAGCATATAGTATAGGTTGTGAATATTGGTATAAGAAATATAAATTAGGAGAAAGATTATATTGTTTAATGAAAGAATCAGTAAGGTTGTTCAAATCATTATTAGTATAGGCTTACACTTTATAAAAGTTGATTTGAAGGTTGTAAGATTTAATAATATTCAATAAAAAATGCCATATAGGTCATATATTAAATTTAAAAAGTTTATTAGGATTGGAAAGTGTAGTATAGATGTTAGTATATTTAGTAATAATAGATTGAAAATCTGTAAAGATGTTAACTATTACATTTTGGAGTGTAGTTAAATGTTGAGCCATTTGCTACTATATGGATTCATTATATTTTATAAAATAATTTTTTGTTATTGTGTTCTGGATTCAAAATTATAAAAACCTTTTACTTAAATAAATAATCAGAGTTATAATTTTCTAGAAGAGCATTAAAAATAAAATCTTTAAGGTTTTTTAATGCAATTGCATTTTCTTAATCTGTTGTTATAATTTTATTTAATTTTTATTATTTTTTAATTTATTATTAATAGAGATTTGGTTATAGCTAGAGATGGAAAAATCACAGTTTTGTCCAAAAATTCTGTGTGAGATTTGACAAAGGTAAAATTGCCATCATAAAAAGTTTCAAGTAAAATTTTATTTTTTTTTAGATTAGGATTAGGATTTTGCCATTATATTAGTGTCTAAAATAATTTGCTACATCAAAATTTTACAAGGAAATTTTTAATTAATGTGCAGAAGACAGTTTTATATACAAAATTTTGTATTTTTTTGACAAAGTAAATATTTGTTTTGAATTTTTCTAATCATGTTACATTACACCTGATGGGTCTTGAAACTTTTAGGATGGTGATTTTACTTCAGTTTGAGATTTCACACAGGATTCACTGATTCACATATCATTACTAAGATTACTATAAGTTTTAACTGGAATTATAGAATTGGCACAAATTATTAAGAACATTATATGCTGAATCCTGTGAATTGCCTATCATTAGTTATAGCAATCTATGTATATATTTTAGAATAGTATGTTATTTGTTTATAAAATGAACTTAAGTAAAACAAGTTGTTATAAAATATTATTTTTACAAAAGCTATTGTTTTTTATTAGTTTTTTATTTAAATTATTAGTTAGAATTTTTAAGATTTAAAGTTATAAGTGTTTAAAGCTATTATGGTTTCATATTAATATAAAAAATTTTTTAATTTTTTAATTTTTTTTATTTGATTAGAATTAGTATATTATATATTCTCATTGGCTAAAAAGCATTTGTATTATTGTAGATAGGTTAACAGGCACCATAACACATATACAAACTCCAAGAAAAGTGACTGATTTGTTGATAAATTAAGTTTTAGTAAAATAAATATAATAGTAAATTGATTGTTAGTAAAGTGTTATATTTGCAAAACAGGTGTCAGTAAAGTAATATATAAATAAAATTACAACAAATTAGTATAAGATGATTAACCAGAATTGTATAGTATAAAAGCATATAATATCTATTTTAAAAATTATATACAATAATATAAAATATATTAGTCTAATTTAACCATATATACTATACTGAATTATATTATCTAAATTAGTTTTTGTGTTTTTAGAATCATATGTATCAAAAAGGTTTTAAAGTAAACCATTTTTGAATAAATAAAGAAATTTAATGTACTATTGTGATAAATATTATAGAACAAGCATTTTTAAATTAAATGCCTTACTTTTAAAGCACTATTTAAAGTACTGTATTTTAAACCTATTTATTATCTTATTATATATAACCAGGTTATCTGAGTTACTCAGAATTTATATAGTTTTGAAATTTTGAAAGCTGGTTTAAATATATAAAACTAGTTTTATTAGGCCAAAATAGTTATAGGAGCATCATTACTCTAAAGTCCATTAATGTTATTAGACCTGAACTTTCAAACATGTTTGTAAATTTTTGGATCTAACTAAATCAAGTCTGAACCATGCCTGAAGTTTGATATTCAAACCCGAACCTAATTTGGTCATAAAACTAGTTTGAGTTTGATTTGATTTTAGACTGAACCCAAATTTATTTAAAGTTTGATCCAATTCAGATTTGCCAAAGCCCTAATAATAACCATAAATCTTGTGGCTCATGAATTGTAATTTCCCAAATAAGAACAAAGGAACTACGAGTAATTTTCTGATTTTTCTGTTCAAGTATATTAACAAAGTAAATTGCTATTTTCACAATTATCATATAGTGTACTAATTCATAATTTATTTAGTAGTGATTTAAAAAAGTCTTGTCCAGGGACTTATTGAACATCCGGTATAAATTATGGCTCTAGGATTGGGAATGGTATTGGTTACACTAAAATTTAGCAAGAAATATTTTTTGTTAGAACCCAAAAATTTGGTTTATAATCAAGATTTTAAGATATCAACATACCTGTGTGTATACACAGTGTATAAATAGAAATTGCCTAAATCAAATTATATTAAATTATTGTCGTTGCTGAAGCTGAAATTTAGAGACCTCTATTTATAAATATTAACCCTACTAAAATCCACATGTACATCTTTTATTATTAAACTAACCTAAATCTATACAAAAAAAATTTGGAAATTTCATCTTAAAGTATTTAAAATTTCCAGCTTCAGAAGTGACAATTATTTATGAGAAGTGGTTTAACAAAATAGCAGTCTGAGAATTTGAGAACTCTCCGCTTAATAATAATTTTTATAATAGTATTTATTAATCATTAATAATTGATCGGATAATCCTTTAATTCCCAGATCGACATTTTCCTAGACAAGTTCTCTTATCTAAAGGTTCTCAAGCACCTCACTCAATGGATTCACTTCATTAACAGTTAATTTCACGACAAGTTTTTTTTATAAATTTCACTAAGAATTACTTTGTCGGTGAAATGACCGGAGCCCACAAATTTTATGTGAAAATGCAATTCTTTAGAGTGATCGGTTTACCCAACATTAACATACATTACATTAATTTTCACGTTATATATTTTTTTTCTTAATTTTATGCTTTATTTTTTTTTGTACGGGTATTTATTTTTGGAACAGCAAGGTATTGTTTCCTGATAAATGTATTCACTTATTTTAATACCATATTTAAATTATTATAAATGAATTCTGGACCAGAAAAATCAAATATTATTTTAAGGCAGGGTGAAAGTCGCGTGTAAACCCGACCATATTAAGCAAAAAATATTATTTTTGATGCTTTAGTTATTGGTGCATAAAAAATAATATTTTTAGCGTCTAAGATTACGTTCTTTCCAACTCAGAATTTACGCTTTTTAATTCCATTTATTTTTATTTAGCCTCCGATTATTGCACACCATGCACTTTTTTAGTACATACATTAATTATGACGTTATATTGCGGTTCTATGACTATTTTGTGACTGACATTACTGTTGCTTAAAAGAAAACATTACATAAATCAAGTCTTTATTCGTACAATAAAGGAAGAATAGTGTAAAACTCATTTGTATCGTGGATTTTATTTTTAGTAGAGGGATTCCCTCAATGATATCGATAAAGGTGAAGGGTAAAATTCCCCGATAATATGGATAAAAATTTACTTAGATGTTCAATGACTTGTGGTTCGTGACTTCTTTCGTTGAAAACTTATTACAAGTATATATTCGGTGGGTGTTTGACTATTGTCTGCGAAAGTATTTAAACCAACGCTTTCAATAAAACTTTCCTTGAAATTTACTTCTCAAATTAAATAAACATTTACAATATAAAGTTATTATTCAATCTAAGACCAAATGCAGTTTTGTACCTCTATTCAGACATACTTAACATTATCTCCAGATCTATGCACTGACTTGTTTAACTTGTTGTCCCTGTGCATCTATTAAATTTCCTGTTCATATTTAAATGATTCTTAAATATGACACGTCACTTATCTTGCATATTATTACTTATAATCATTGTTGCCCCGATATTTACCTGATCCAGCCCAATATAATATTCTCGACTTCTTTCCTGTTCGATGATACATCGAAACTTAATTTTCAATGCTTAAATATCAAAATAAATTTGGGGAGATAATCATGCGTGTACGTGTCGACCAATACATTATATAATCTTGGATAAATTTCGTTGTTACACTATAATCTTTTTGAATTAAATGCTATATACATCTGGTATATGTAAGGCATGTTTTTGTAATGCAGAGTTGAACCCAATACAATTTCGATGTAAGCAACCTGCAGATGAAAAAAGTTCGAAAGCTTTTAAAAATAAACTTTGATCATCAGATCCAAGTCATGTTTTTTTATCATTCTTTTAAATTTCGTCCATTGAAATATTGAGAAACTTTAGTCAGCCCTTTTCTTTTTGAAAATAATTGTTCTTTTTTAAGTTTTACATAAACTATTTTATTTGCTATGTCACTACCAAGATATTTTTTGTATTTTTTGACTTTTATATTATTGATATTCATAAATCTAGCCAGAACAAATAACGATCCTATTGATCTTTACGAAGGTAAATGAATTTTAATTCATTTAATTCATTTCTATATTGTAAATAATTGTAATATTCACATTTACTCATTTTAATAGATGATCCGACAGGGTTCTTATGCGTAGTCATTTTTCATAACACCTTCCTATCCCTCTCCTTAATCGGAATATTTTTTGTGTTTAACAGAATTTATTATAGATGGATGTATACACAAAGATATTTGTCGATGGCTGTTAGAGTACCTTTATACTTGGGTACAATTGGTAAACATTTTCAGACTCTATTATCATTAGATCCGAATATTATTTTAACTGCCTTTGAATCTCATTTATAGACTTCATTTTTTCAATTTTACAGGCTTGTGGCACAGTAAGTTATCGGTTAGAAGTGGTTCTCAAGCAATTCACTCAATATATACTCAATCATTGCGATTAGTTGAATTAATATTTATACCGATTTTTTAAAAAATGTAGTTTGCCTATTTTTGATAGTCACTTGATCGGTTTGTTCAAAATAATTAAAAAATTCCCTCGATCCATTGAGTGAGGTGCTTGAGAACCGCCAATATAAGATAAAATCTAGGATAAGAGTAAATAAATAAATAAATGTTATAAAGATGTTTGTTAAAGTCTTGAACCTCCAATTAATTAGGTATATATTACAATATATCACACCCCATTGTCTGGATTAGCCTGTAAAAACCTTACCTTCATGTCAACTGCTTGTATATTCTTTCGGAGAATATTTGTCGCTTCTATTTCTGTCATTACATATCTCAGGTAAATATTGATAGATTTTATAAAACAAACCTATTATTCTTAAAGCTAAAATAGATTTGTGTTAGAGTATGTAGGAGCAAAAATATAGGTACTGGTAGATATGATTGGAAATTATTTCTGCCTATAGGCACAATCTCTTTGATTATTTCGGTTCTTGGTTGGGAATCTTATGCTCCTGTTAAATATTGGTATAAGCTATTATGTCATTTCGTTTTTGTTGTTGTCGTTTAACCCAAATATTGTAATTATAATGTTTAGATTTAAATTTTTAATAGGTGTGCTACAAAGCCCGCAAGTTTTGCTCTTACAATAGTTTCCGTTGGGATAACGTTGTTTGTGCTTTCAATATGTTCATTCTGTTACTTCCAAACCGTTCGAACTGTACGTGTCGTTAAAAAAGCTCAAACACAAGTTAATCTATCTAATGATACAAACAAGTCTTTAGAGCATTCTATAAGTGATGTAGAACTTAGGGTTACTGTAAAAGTTTTGGGTTATGTACTTGTGTTTATTTTACAATGGGTAGGCAATTTTTATTTTAATCTTTGCCATTTTAATTATTTATGATTAAATTTAATTAGTAGATTCCTACAATACCATATGAAATATATCAAATATACGGAAATGCACCTACCTGGATGTACTGCATGGTTGCTGCGTCAATTAATATGGGGGTGAATAAATTCTTATTTTCTTACTAATATTTCACACACATACTTCCTATTCATTTGATTGTTGGTTGTTTCTTTATTTTATAGGGTATTGGAAATGCCATATTTTATATAATAAATGAAGGATTAAGTCGTAATGTAGATAATTGTAAATCTTCCTTGACAACTTGTCAAACTACAGAACAAATTGTGCTTAATTCAAAAGACATAAATGATAGTGACTCGATATATGAAAATGTTGAGAGTAGATTTTCGATAAATTTATCAAAGAGATCTCTTGATGTTATTCCTGATGGCACGTGTTAATGTTGCTACAAAATCTATAAAATATTTATAACTAAAAATTTATCCCTCTAGTTTTAATAATTGGTTTTTTAAAATATATTATACCGTATATTATGACTCGACTAAAAATCCTGTTTATAATGAAAACAATAAAGAATATCATAAACTTGTCACAAAGGGAAGAAAAAAATCAAATCACTTTTTTATCTCTGCATTTTCATTCGTACTGATAAAATATTATCGTGATTGGTTGATCCTGAAATTTGAACTTATTTTAGTATGAAATTTTGAAATTTTGGAGATTTCCGTTTTTTTTTGGAGTTGGGTTAGGATTTGAGCTAGAATTGATAAATAAAGTGTATATATAGATTTTTTGCAGGCTTATGAGATCCCAAATTTCAGTGTTAGCCAATAAGTAGCTGCGCAATGTTGTCGCGCGAAACCAGGAACGGGAGAAATCTACGCAGACACTATTTCAGTCACAGGAAACCATATTCTTCATTGCAATCTATTCCTGTATAAGAAAATTACTCTTTATAAAAGAAGTTGATAGTACTTGCAATCTGTATATTGGTTTGAATTTCAATGACTGAGCCTAAAAACCTATTGTTATGTGTTTTATGGTCGAGTTCAGAGATGGGGCAAATGCGACAGATTGTCGCTTGAAAAACGATTCTGCTGCGTAATGTTCTTCAAAGATATAGAGGTGGTTTTTCGATTTGGCACAAGGTCGAGGTGATCAATGAGGAGCGTTACAAGATGAGTATTAAAATTTTTTTTAAAGAGTGTATTGTATTGATTCAAAAGAGCTTTTATTAGTTGCATTATATTGTAAGAGCAATACAATTATAGAGTTATATTATTATATGACTCTAAACTATGAGTTTGAACTTTACTTTTAGATGGGTAAATTTCATTTCTTTTATAATGAATTGATTGCAAGAAGAGCCTGCACAAGATCATGACTTTTCTCATTATTCTCAACATTTTTCAACCATTTTTGTTCTAACTTTTACCCTTTCACATGGCCTTTTATTACTTTAATATTTTTTCTGATTTTCATAGAACTAATAAGAAATATTTCAGTTTTATTATTCCAAGATTAGAACCCATCATATTGTCTTCAATCACACCTCTCTTGACATCACCTTACAGCTAACTCAGGTAGGGTAGGTGGAGTTAACATCCATTCTTAGCATGAACAAGTTGGTCCAGGTTGATCTTTCTTTATTTAAAGAGTGGTGAGGTCTTATATAGAAACTTATGTCTGTCATATGGCTTCCTTTGGGTTAGATGCACATGTTTCAGATAGATTGTCATAGGCACCTCTAATTAAATAAATATGTTACAATAATATCCATTTCACAGGTTCTATGAAGTGTTGGTTTTACCTCTAACTAAAGATAGGAAAATCAAGTTTTTTTGAATCTACTGCAAAGTTTGCATAACCCTAGTCTCTAGAGCCCTTTATTTATATTTATATATATAAAACATCAACTTCATATATGTAAATTTGGACTCTTATTATTTTAATTAATGTTCCAAGGTTAGTTTAAACATCAATTTTTGATGTTTTGTGTTTTTTTCACTTTTTTTCTGCATATTAGTAAATTGATAATTCTGGTCAAATTTGCAAATCATTTAGCTAAATCTAGAACAAAACAACTTTAAATATAATCAAATAATCTGCACATTTGATCAGAATTATGAATGATAAATTCTATTAATTAGATAATGCAGATCCATTTTTTTTTGAGCTAATCTGAACTGATTTCCGATTAGTAATTCAAACCTAAATTATAAAACTGATCAGAATTATAAAAATTATACTGCAAAGCCTAAAAAATGCCTGCACAGTGAAATACTGCACAGGTTGTAAGTAAAATATTATATAGGCTGCATAGTAAAATACTGCACAGGCTATGCAATATCTAATCTCTACCTCTAATATTATTAATGAAGTCAATGTCTAACTGCTATATAGTTGGTTAGCTAGTATTACTTAGTTTCAATGAATCTGATTCAAAATTCTAAGGCTCTGCAAAAATCTACAAATATATATGTATTTATAAATAATTAACAATTCTTTTGATTAAATCTTTAATGATCAGTGATTATTATTTTATCAGCCCAATAAAAATTTTGATGAAAAAAATAAAAATTACTAAATATTTAGCATCAAGACTTTTAAATTTATATTGGAACACAAATTTTTGTGTCTAAAAAACTTATTTTTATTATTCTTTGTTATAACATCATTGATTTTACAGATATATGCACTTATTTAAGTTTTTTTTTTTTTTTATTTTTATTTTATTTTATTTTATTTATATAATATCATAGTAGAAACTTTATAATACAATAAAAAATTTAATTACAGAAAAAAATTTTTAAAATAAAGATTTCTAAACAACATTTGTGTTGCTAAAAAATAGACATCCAATGTAATATTATACCTTTTATTTCCTAATAAGTGCTATAGATAATTGTTTCAAATTATTTTCTAGCTAGAATAGGTTAGAGAAAACCTTAGATGAAAGTTAATATATTATATAAAATATGTGGTTAGAGTAAAACTTTGTAAGAGCTATTTGTTAATTGCTACTATAGTATTAGAAGTTTGTGTAGTTCTTGGGAGGTTGTTAGTGAAAGAAGATATTGTTGAGAAGTAAATTTTTGTATGTTTAGTTTTAGTAGTTATGTTTTGAGTAAGTTCCTATTGATGTTGAGATATGTTGTGTGTAAACCATAAGTCTTGATAGTACCAAGTAAGAAGATTGTTGGCTAAATTAATCAAAAAAATGCTTGTTTGTTTGTTTAAAAGAACTTTGATATTATTGTAGATAGTTATAGAGAAAGTGCCAGATATGGCATATAAGATAGATTAATAATTAGAATTAGTGTGGTTGGCTGTAAAGTTTGAAATAATATTAAAAATGAAGGGTGCTAGACTGTTAGATATTTGAAGTAAGTTAAGTGTTAATTGAATTGTATTGAGGATTGCTTGGTTTATATTAATATTATTGCCTGCACAGAGGAAGAGATGAAGTGTGTTTTCGAAATTTGTATATCAGAAACATGTTGTTATTATATAGAGATGAGGATAGCATATATTAAGATTTTCTATAGTGGAAAGGTTATTTGTAAGGATTTTAATACGAAAGAAGTATTTTTGAGTATCATGTTTCATGGATTTGATTATTTGAAAATTGAGAGCCCAGTTAGGTTCTAAGGTATTTTGAAAGTGTTTAATTGTAGACCAAGAAGAAAGTTCTTGAATTGTAATAATATTTTTGATAAAGTTGTGAATTTTGAAAGATATAAGATGATTATTTCATAGAAAGTAAGTTTGAGTATTTGGTAGTGATAGTTCAAGAATGGGTTTAGAAGTTCCTTATTTTGCTAGAGAGTCTGCTTGGTTATAAAATAAGTTTGTATGTGATTTGATTTTTGAAAATTGTACATTAAGGTTTTTAATAGTTTTGAGATAATTGATAAATAAAATAATATCCTAATTTTTAATATATAATTGTTTTAAAGAGGAAATGTGTTGCAAGTTTTTAATTGTTGTTTGATTGTTAAGATGGATTGTAATGGTAATATTTAATAATATAACTAAAAGAAATGATAGAACTGCTTCAAGTTCAGTATAATTAGTGTTAGCATATGGTTTTGTGTTTACATTAAAGTTTATATTAGTATTTGTTTTGCAAATTCAGCCTATGTCTAATTTAATATTTGGTGTTTGACAGTCTTTGATAGAACTATCAGTATAGAAGATTAAGTTGTCTAAGTTAGAATTTCTGATTGAGGAGTAAAGTTTGATTAATTAATTTTTATATGAAGTTGATTTAACAGTTTGTTGAATGAGTTGTATTTCAGGAGAAGTTAAGTTTACTGAAGGATAAGAAAAAGGTAAGAATTAGGGAGAAATGTAATTGTTAATATGAATAAGTGAGAGAATTTCATTAAAGTTAATTTGTAGTAAGTTTTTAATGATTTTAATTTGGTTGTATGGAATACTGATAGATTGAAAGTTTAAGGTTATTGGAAGCGAAGTAGAAATAATTAAAGTAAATTCAGATGAATGATAAAGAGGCTGATAGAATTAGTTTGTTGGAAATGAATTTATTGTGAGAGAAAGATTTGTTGATTAATATTGTAGAAGATTTTGTAAGGGAAAAGTAGGTTGAGGAAAAGGGAAGAATATCTATCAAGTTGATGAAGGAGTTTTTGGGAAGAAGATTTAAATGAGACCAGATTGTGTTAATATTGTAATTTTGATTAGAAGAGAAGATTTGTGTGAACCAAGTTGGTTGACAATCTTGCGTAGATTTGTTTGTTCGTAAATATATATTATTCTATAAAAGAAAGCATAAATTATTTGCTGTTGTAATTTGTTCAAAAAATAGAATTCTGTTGTTTTTTAGACTTTGAATAGTTAAGTTAGATAATTTTGGAAGAAGTATATCATATATTGTTTTGTAGTTTGTAAAATTTTTAATGATAGTAAAAAGTTAGACAGTAAGAAATTGTGTTTTGCAAGTTGACAAATATGAAAAATTAGTGTAAAGTTTTGTGTTTTGCGATAGTGAGTATTAAGTATATTTATTGTAAGCTTCGGCTGCCAAATTTTGAGAAGTCAGACCTTAGTTTGTAAGGTGCCAATGGTATTAAGTAAAGGTGTAAAGTTAAAAATTCATTCAATATTAGAGGCACTTAATTTTTGTAAAATATTGTTGAGAGTTGGTAGGTTAAAAAATAGTAGATTAGTAAGAATAATATTATTTGTATTTCTTGCTAATGCTAGCATTTTTTTGGATTGGATAATAAATATTTGAGAGAGTTTAGTTTGAGTATTTTGGTGAATTGGAGTTATTTGTAATAAATATTCCAGAGAGGGTTAGAGAATAAAATTGTAAAGAGCTGAAATTTGTAACAATGTAATTTTTTTATATTTAATAAAGTTAAGAAAGTTTTTAATTTTGTTGAAAATAGTATCAAAAGTTGGTTTTGTGAAG